CTGCGGGCAGCCCCCCAGATGCGGGCGGCCCCCCAGATACGGGCGGCCCCCCAGGTGCGGATGGCCCCCCAGGTGCCCACGGCCCCCCCGGCATCGCAGGTGCCCACGGTGCCTCCCACTAGTCTGCAGGTGCCCCAGGCTGCGCTGTCGGCCCCTCTGTCGGCCCCACAGGCTGTGCACTGCCCACCCATCATCTGGCAGGCCCCCAAAGGCCAAGCCCCGGTGCCACAGGAGATGCCGGTGTCGATGGAGTTCCAGGAGGTGCAGCAAGCCCAGGCGCTGGCCTGGCAGGCCCCCAAGGCCCCTGGGCCCTTCTGGCAGCCCCTGCCCGCCCAGGAGGCCCAGAGGCAGGGCCCTCCACTGGTGCAGGTGGAGCAGCCCTTTCAGGGGGTCCCCGCCTCCCAAAAGGCGCTGCAAATCCAGCTACCCCCCCAGCAGGCCCCGCCGCCGGGTCCGCAAGCAGAGCTGCCCCAGGTGCAACTCCAGCCCTCCTGGCAGGGCCTCCCAGCCGCCCTGCAGGGCCAACCCGGAGCCCCCCTAGCAGCGGCAAATTTTCCCATGGGCTCTGCCAAATCACTGATGACTCCATCAGGGGAATCCCGGGCTTCTTCGATAGACCGTAGGACCTCGTCGAAGGAGCGTCGGACCTCGTCGAAGGAGCGCAGGGCTTCTTCCAAGGACCGCATGATCTTTGCCGCCACTTTCTGTGCCCCCAAGGTGATGCCGGGGGGCCGAGCACACCTGCCACCTGCCTGGAAGAACTTTCCTGCAACACCAGAGCCCTACACTGCCACCCCCAGGGGCTTCCCAGCTACCTCCCAGTTCCAGCCTGCCTCTGCTAATGCCTTCAAGGGCCTGCCTGCCCTCACCGAGCCCCCAAAGTCACTGCCATTTGCTCCCAAGGATCCCTTTGCCTATGCCGAGGCCCTGCCTTCAGTCCCCTGGGTCCCCCAGCCCACTGTGAATCCTCCCAGGGCGTCCCAGGCGGCGCCCACCATGCTGATGGCTACAGCAGCTGCCCCCCAGGCCATGGCCATCCCTCAGGAGGCCTCGAAGACCCCCAATGAGCCTCCGCGTCGCTCGGGCAAGGCCACCAGGAAGAAGAAACACCTGAACACTGAAGAGGACACCAGTGGCCGGATGCTGGCCCTGCGTGGCTGGCAGGCCCCAAGGCCCTGGGAAAACATGGACTTTAATGACTGGGAGGTTGAAAACCCTCTCCAGGTTCTGGGTGACTGGGAGGACCCAATCCCCTCCTATAATCTGAGTGGCTGGGAGGGCGCCAGCACCTCCAGGATCTTGAGTGGCTGGGAGGGACCAGGCACATCCTGGGCCATGAGTGCCTGGGAGGGTCCGAGCACCTCGAGGGCCCTGGGTCTCTGGGAAAGCCGAGGTGGCCCTCAGTCTCTGATGCTCTCTGAGGTCCCTGGGCTCCCTATGGGGTTTGGTGCCAGTCAGGATGAGGCCAAGGAGGAGACTGAGCCGTTGTCTCCCCTGGATGAGAGAGCAAACGCTCTGGTGCAGTTTCTCTTGGTCAAGGACCGAGCCAAGGTGCCCATCAAGCGCTCAGAGATGGTGAGGTTCATCATCCGTGAATACAAAGATGAGTGCTTGGAAATAATCAAACGTGCCAACCACAAGCTGGAGTGTGTCTTTGGGTATCAATTGAAGGAAATTGATCCCCAGACCCACTCTTACATTATCATCAACAAGGTGGCGGGTCCTCTGGGTGCACCGGCGGTGGCATCCTACTTAGAGACCCCCAAGTTTGGCCTCCTGATGGTGGTCCTGAGCCTCATCTTTATGAAGGGCAATTGCATCAGGGAGGACCTGCTCTATAGTTTCCTGTACAAGCTCGGGGTGGATGTCCGGGAGACCCACGGTCTCTTCGGAAACGCAAAGAAGCTCATCACTGAAGTGTTTGTGAGGGAGAAGTACTTAGAGTACAGGCGAGTCCCCAACACTGAGCCAGCCCAGTACGAGTTCCTCTGGGGCCCCCGAGCATTCCTGGAAACCAGCAAGATGCTGGTGCTCAAGTTCCTGGCCAGGCTCCATAAGAAAGATCCACAGTACTGGCCTTTCCAGTACTTCGAAGCCCTGGAAGAGTGTGAGTCCGAGGATTCGGACAAGGATGAGCCAGGGCCCGACGAGGGGGCTGAGGGTCCGCCCGGCAGCCCCCCTCCCCGCTAAGGAGATCTAACAGATATCTCCGATCCCTTGTGTCCCCCGGCCAAAGGCCACTTACAGGGTTGTGTGTGTGCGTGGGGGGGGGGTGTTGTTTTGTTTCTGGTGTTTATGTTCCAGTTCTATGTGTGTAAATTTGGATTTCCACTTGGTTTCGTATCTGCCAAAGCTTTGTACATCTTCATGTGGTGTTGATTTCAACTGGCTACTGTTCTTCTTGGTATTCTGGCACTTGTATTTTTAAGTGAGATCTGTGATTCTCTGTTTTGTGTTATAATTGTTCTGTTTTGGTATCAGAGTTGTGCTGGCTTTGTGAAATGAATTGAAAAAGCTACCCATCTCACCCCGGTACACATTATGTAGTGTTGAAATAGGCTGTTCTTTGAACGTCAAAATGACTCATCAGTAAAGCTGTCTGCAGAGAAATAAATATCTATATCTATATATATAAATATACTTTCAGCATAACATGGAGGTGTTTGTCTTTATTCTAATTTCTACTCTAGATGGTGGGAGCCAAGTTTTTCTTCTCTGAATAGACCTGAACATTGAGACTACTACCAGCAACAGCGCTATAATCTTCCAAACAACACAATGATTTTGACGGGGCGGGGAGGGGGGGGCGGACGACGACACGTAAGGTTGACATTAACCAAGCATAAGACTTCACTAAGTTATACACATCTTTGGATTTCACCCTCACCACATCCCCTCACAGTAGGCGAGTGTTTAAACTCAGGTCAATTAATTAAATGGCACCGGCTAGTGCCAAGTCAGGAAAGTGGGAATTTGGAGCAGGTTTCCTTAAGGTTACGTGGGAGAGGAGGACCATCCACCTGTAGCACCACAGGTATCAGGCTTCTTAAGAAATTGGTCAAAGGGGCCTTTGTCAGCCATGTGGGCCTCGGTGGGTGTCCAGTAGCTCAGGGGATTTGGGTTTTATCAGCACACTGATACTGGGTTGGAAACTCGGTCCCTGCAAAATATCCAGACTTCTCTCAGGAAAAATGAAGGGGCAGCCTTTAATGAACTAGGGATCCTGCAGGTTGCAGGTGGTGGTGGGGAGCAGGGGGATACCAAGCCCCACCGAGGAAGCTCCTGCGGGTGGGGGGGGTCAATGCTCACACACAGGGGAAGCCTGCCAATGTCTGAGCCCTGGGGTGCAGGGCCCGCTGTGGGAGGGATCACAACGGAGCAGTGAACTTTCCGGAGGTGTTTGGGGAAAGATACTCATGCCCGCGCCAGGCTGGTGTATACAAGACTCTCCTGAAGTCATTATCTCCTCAAGTGGACGGGGGTCATCGGCGCCGCCACCCCCCTACTGTCCTATGAGGGTCAAAAGCCCCAACCCTAACCCCCTCCCCTGGGTAAAGATGAAGCCCAGACAGGAGGTAACAGGTGACAGTGGAATTCGCCTGCCACCTAGTGGCCGGTCCTGGCTCTGTCGCGCCTGCAGCTGCACAGTCTACAGCGTCACATCCCCGAATACCTGGGCTGTGCTACTACTTGCTTCGTAACCTTTGCCCATAACGTTACTGCCCAAAACATTCCGTTTCCTCCTATATCACAGCACAAGGCCAGCCCTCTTCTCCAAGTCCAATTCACTGGCAGTTAGTCGCTGAGCTCCTACAGTAGGAGATGGGCTCCTATGACGGTGAGCTCATGCCCAGCACGGACACAGCCAAGCTCTCTAGGACCACCGGCCTCACCCCAGGACCTGCCTGGCTACAGGATCTTTGGCAAGTTGTCCAAGTGACCAGGTTTCCCAGAAATTAGGGGAAAGTCTCTTGCAAACACGTTGGGTCAGGGAGTACAGCGCTTCTAATCCCAATCAATATTCAGTTATTTGGACAACAGCGAGGGTCCACTGATGGCAGCATCATGGCCCCAGCTGAGAACTGTCCCCAAAAGAGGCTCTGCTGGACCAGGAAAGCGCCACGCGGGTCTAGTATTTCTTGTTTGGTTCTGCTTTGTTATTGTTTCTAGTTTTCTCTAAATCATTTACTCATTTGCTCCAACACAAAATGACATTCTGGGGGACAAAGGCATGACAACCTGTGCCAGAGAAATTCTAAAGCGGGGGGCCAGTAGTCTCCCATCAAAGCCATAAAATGATTTTACCCAAAGCCATTTCCCTCTAAGCTGTCTGACTCCCAGGAAAGAGAAGTTAAAAACGTTTCTCAAAGCGACCAATTCCAGTGCCCTGCTGTGTAGGATGTTCAGTTACAAGTGAGCTGCTATCTTACGATATTTATCGTGGGGTGACGATCTGACTTTGGGGATAATTTTACTCAGAGTGATGCTTCCTTAGAGCAGTCAGGATGAGGGCCAGCTGCTTGTCAATGCTGTACGCAAAGCAGCGCTGTCAGCAGACAGGAGTTGATCGCTGCAGCTGGGGTGGGTGGAGCACTCTCCAGGGTCCCTGTGGCCTCTCCTGGGCATCCAGCCCACCGGTTATTCATTTACCTTCAGGGCTATGGGCACACCCACAACTGCAGCCATCCTGACGGCTGCTGTAGTACTTGAGAGGCCAGGGCTCCCTCTGCTGGACAGTTGTAGGACCTCCGTCAACTCTATTGAAAACCCAGGTGTCAACAAGGAGGGTCCTAAAGAGAAGCTGCTAACATTGAGATCCCCCCCTTTTTTTCTCTCTTGTCCCCAACCCACAGTCACACGGGCACAGAAAAGGCACGGTTAACATAACAGGTATGGCCTCTCTGGACAGAATCTCTATGAGAGGAAGACTCCAGTGGATCTACCTGTAGAGCCCAAGGTGTGTGCTCCCCTGCTTTCTGCCAAATCTTCCAGAAGGTTCTGTGGTGAATCCCATCACAGGATCTGTAACACTACTAGCTCATTGGTCCAATCTCCTCATGCCTTTAGGCTCTGAAAGTTGTATCTGCTCCATGGTCAGCTTCCTTCTGCTTTGTCGGTGGCACCGCAGATGCCACCCTGGAGGGCTCAGCGAGATGCCCTTCCTGCTGCAAGTGGCTTTGCTCTGAAGCTGCCAATCCATCTCCCAGCGAGGGTGGCTCTCTGTGCTTGCACTTGTTCACAGCGAATTCGGCTTGAGAGCCAAGGTTAAGAGGGGTTGGTGGCATCCAAGCAACAGCAGTCACAGCAGAAGCGGTTCCTAAACCTCGTGGACTTCCTGCAGCGTGCTCCGCGGTGGCCCAGAATCCTCCCCCAGAAAGATCTGGCTGGAGCCACAGGGCGCCTGGACTGTTGGCTTTTCTGGCTTCTGTGAGACAGCCTTAAAAATATTTTGTTTTGAAACAATCACAGGATCCGCAGGGACTTCCACGCAGCAAGTTTTAAATTTTGATGAGGTCTGATTTACTGATTTGTTTCTTTTACAGATCGTGGTCTTGGTTTCATGTCTAAAGACTGTATAGGGTAATGTCATGCGCCCTTCGTCTGGGTTTCCTTCCGTGTCTACAACTTTCTAATTTAAATATTTTTTAAATTTTCCAATTACAGTTGGCATACGCTATTACATTAGTTTCAGGTGTACGACCCCGTGATTAGACATTCCATAACTTACTGTTACCCCTCAGGTAAGTCTAGAGCCCCTCTGGCACCATGCATAATCATTACAGTGTTACTGACCATGGCCCCTGTGAGGTACTTTACACCCCAATAACTAATCTGTGACTGCCCATCTGACACCTCAACCCCTCCCCCTTTCTCACCCAGTCCCCCCCACCCTCCTGCCATCTGGCAGCCTTCAAAATGTTCTCTGTATCTACGAGTCTGTTTATATCCTGCTTGTTCATTTATTTTGTTTTTTAAATATATCTTGTGTGGTGTAAGTTTGTTTTTTCCATTTTTATGAAGTATCTTTTCCCGTCCCTTTCCTTTCAGTCTCTGTGTGTCCTTCTATCTGAAGTGAGTCTCTTGTAGGCAGCATATGTGAGGGTCTGGGCCCTGTTATCCATTCAGCCTCCATATGTCTTTTGATTGGAGCATTTAATCCATTTGCTCTTAAAGTAATTGTTGATAAATATGTATTTATTGCCCTTTTATCATTCATATTTTTTATTTTTTTCCTTCTTTTTCTTAAAAAAGACGCTTTAACATTTCTTGTGACACTGGTCGGGTGGTGATGAACTCCTTTAGCTTTATCTTGTCTGGGCAGCTCTTTATCTGACCTTCGATTCTAAATGATAGCTGTGCTGGGTAGAGTCATCTGGTTGTAGGTCCTTGCTTTTCATCACTTTGAATATTTCTTGCCACTCCCTTCTGGCCTGCAAGGTTTCTGTTGAGAAATCAGCTGACAGTCCTATGGGTGCCCCCTTGCAGGTAACACTGCTTTCCTCTTAAGGTTCTCTCTTAATTATGATGTGTCTTGAGACTGGCCTCTTTGGGTTCATCTTGTTTGGGACACGCTGAGCTTCCTGGAGCTTCCTTCACCAGGTTAGGAAAGTTTTTTATCATTATTTTTTCACCCTGGTCTTCAATGCCTTGTTCTCACTCTTCCCCATCTGGTACCCCCATGATGTGAATGTTAGTACACTCAAGTTGTCCCAGAGTCTCCTTATACTACTGTCATTGGGGGGATTATTCTGTTCTTCTTGCTGTCTGACTGTATGTTGATCTGGTAGCCTGCAACCTTTCTGAACTCACAAATCACTTCTAGGAGTTTGCGTGTAATTCCTTAGGATTTTCTACATAGACTATTTTGTCATCTGCAAACAGAGACCATTCTATTTATTTATTTCCTATCTGCATGCTTTTTCTTTTTAAAATGAATTTATTGAGGTGACGTTGGTTTGCAAAGCCGTACAGGTTCCAACAGTACAACTCTGCCCACTGCATCATGCACCCCCAGCAAAGTCTCTTTTCATCCCTACTTCCCCCACTGTGCCCACCTCCACCTACCCCCCAACCTCCTTTCCCTCTGGCTATCACCACACTGTTGTCTGTGTCTATGTGTTACGTATAAATGTCTTTTGACTAATCCCTTCTCCTGGCTTCATTCAGTTCCCCCTGCGCCCCTCCCCTCTGACAGCTGTCAGTCTGTCCCATGTATCCGTGCCTCTGTTTCTATTTTGTTTGGCAGTCTGTTTTGTTCATTGGATTCCACAGATAAGTGAGATCATATGGTACTTGTCTTTCTCTGACTGCCTTATTTCACTTAGCATAATACCCTCCAGGTCCATCCATGCTGTTGCAAAAAGTTAAGATTTTCTTCTTTTTTATGGCTGAGTAGTATTCCATTGTGTAAATGTCCCACAGCTTTTTTTATGGATTAAAAAAGCCTTTTATTTTCTTTCACCACCTTTCTGCTGGACTTCGAGCAGTATGTTGGAGTGGAGTGGTGAGAGCAGACACCATTGCTTCATTCAGATGTTTTCAGGGAAAACATTCCTTCTTTCAGTATTAACTATAATGTTGAAGCAGTTCTCTTCTATTTCTATTTTTTAATTAGATTTATTGGGGTGACAATGGTTAAATAAAATTACGTAGGTTTCAAGTATACAATTCTATGATACATCATCAGTACATTGCATTGTATGTTTGCCACTCAAAGCCAAATCTTTTTTTTTTATTTTTTAAATCATGAATGGGTGTTTAATTCTGTTAAATGTTTTTTCTGCATTGATTGTTATAATTGTGATTTTCCCTTTTTAGTCTATTAATATGGGTTCCATTAATTTACTTTTGAGTACTGAACAGCCTTACATCCCTTCAGTAAACTTTGTTTTTCATGGTACATAGATACATATTTCATTGCTGAATTATATTTACTAATATTTTTAGGAACTTTTTGTTCACACTCATGAGGGTGTTGGCCTGTCATTTTCCATTCTTTGTTTTTTTTTGGGGGGGGGGGTACTGTGATTGCCTGAGTTCTGTATCGAGGTATGGGTAATTTCATAAAACGGCTCTTCCTCTTCGACTTTCTGGGGGACTGTGCTAAACTGGTGTGAATTATTTTTTAAAGTATTTGATAGAATCCTCCACTGGTTTTTCAAGGAATTACTTCCCAATAAAGCTCTACTCGAAGACTGAGGGATTTCTGCTGCACATAAGCAGTAACATGCAGAGGAGCTTCTGGAGGGAAGGTCCCTAGGACGATGCAAGGACGAGAGCCTCCTTCAGGAGAGCCCTGGTCCGCATCAGCCCCTCATGCACGGCTCAGGGCAGAGGCCCGACGGGGCTCCAGCCAGCAATTCCTGGCTGGAATTCCAGCGTGTCAGAAGACAGGGAGTCTGGCCTCAGTCTTTGCTCTACTCCTATCTCTCACCCAGCGTGTGGCTTAACCCCTTCCCTTAGGAATTTCCATAATGAAAGATAAAGATACCAGCTCTCCTACCCAGAAGAGCTGAAACGGTTAAGGGCGCAATCCGAAGACAGCGGCTCTCAAGTGCAGTGGTGGGAAGGCGGTGCATTCCACTAGCTACTACGTACTGGGGGGTTTCTCTGCAGTGAGGCAGCGAGTGGGATACATTTTCAACTCCCCGTCTTCCTCCCGCTGCCCAGTTGCATGTTTCTGCAGAAATGTTCGGCAAGGGGATATCAAGATTTCCATTAACTTATTTCTGTATTTACTAGTAAGTTTACAGAGAGGGGTGAATGGCAACAGCGATTAAGCAAAGCTCGTATTCGGATGAGCTGTCACTCAAAAGGCCCTTGTTTCCACTCAGGGGTTGACCACTTTCCCTCAGAGAAGGGAGATGAGAATTGATTAGTGTGCGCACGGGTCTAGGCAACTGGAACAAAAAAGTGAAGAGACAGATACCTCCTATTATCATGCAGGTAATTCTAGTAAAGAGAGACGGATAAAAAACCAACATAAATGAGGAAATATCAGTTAAAACCATAGTGAGATATCACCTCATACCTGTCGGAATGGCTGCCAACAATAATTAACAAACAACACATGCTGGCGAGGGTGTGGGGAAAGGGGACCCTGGTGCACTGCTGGTGGGAGTGCAGACTGGGGCGGCCACTGTGGAAAACAACAGTAAGGAGGTTCCTCAAAAAATTAAAAATGGACCTGCTTATGACTCAGCGATTCCACTTCTGGGAATATACCCTAAGAATCCCAAAACACTAAAGAAAGAATATATGCTCCCCTATGTTCATAGCAGTGTTATCTACAATAGCCAAGACTTGGAAACAACCCATTTACCCATCAGTAGATGAGTGGATAAAACAGCTGTGGGGCATTCACACCATGGAATATTACTTGGCCATTAAAAGCATAAAATCTTACTATTTGTGACGGCATGGACTGACCTAGAGCAGTGACTTTCAACCTTTTTCATCTCAAGGCACATAAACTAATTACTAAAATTCTGCAGCACACCAAAAATATATATTTTTTGCCAGTCTGACAAAAATAAAAGGTATAATTTCAATCCATTCACAGGAGATGGCTGTTGTTGTCAGCTTTTTAACTGGGCAATTTAAAGTATTGCATGGTTTAAAAATTCTTGTGACGCACCAGCTGAAAATCGCTGGCCTCGAGGGTATGATGCTGGGTGAAACAAGTCTACAGGGAAAGACAAATACCACTTCTACGTGGAATCTAAAGAGCAAACAAAATAGCAACAGACTCAGATCCTTTGAACAAACTCAAGGTTGCCAGAGGGGAGGGGTGGAAGGGCTGGGTGAGAAAGGTGGAAGGACTGAGATGTACACATTGGTAGTTACGTAGTCACAGGGATATATGGTACAGCACCGGGGATATAATCAATAACACTGCAATAACTGCATGATGTCAGGTGAGCGCTTCAAATATTGGGGGGACACTTTGTAAATTATGATTGTCTAGCCACTATGCTGTACACCTGAAAATAATATAAAATACTATTAAATGTAAACTTTAATTGAAAAATAAAATTTAAAAAAATGAGGAAACGTCTGTAGTAATAGTACTATGTTGAAATTAACCAAAACAAGGTGAGTTATAGAATCAAAAGGGTGTGTAGCTCGTGTGCTCAGAGAACTGTGTGAAAAGTTAATATTTAGGCTGATATATATATTTTTTAAGCAGGACCTTTTGACGTAGAGGGGGAGAGGAAGGGAGAGGTAGGGAGAGAGAGAAACATTGATATGAGAGCGAAACATCAGTTGGCTGCCTCCTGCATACCCCATACTAGAGATTGAGCCTGCAACCTGGGCCTATGCCCTGATTGAGAATCAAACCCACAACCTTGGCTTACTGGGATGAAGATGAGCTACCCGGTCAGGGCCTATTTTTAACTTCATAAGTGAAACAGTATTAGCATCAACAGAGACTCTATCGAGGTAAAAATGTTTAGGTGAAAGTATTCTACATTCAATGAACAGAGAGATCACTGTTGCCAAAACTTCAAGTGTGTGCCTGTGTTCGTGAGAGAGAGAGAGAAGGGGCTGGGAATGGAGAATATTGAATCCGTAAACTTGAGAAGAAGGGAACAATGACAGATCTTGTTAATTATAGTAATAGCTTTGGTCTTTATTTCTTCTAATAGTAGCAGGGAGGTTTTATTTAATCAGGGGAAGGGTGTGATCAGATTAGTTTTTGAGAGAGATGAAATTACATCCACCTTGTAGGCATTTTCTCTCAACTATTATTCCATTAAACACAGTAATTAAATTTTGTTTCAAGTAAAAAAAAAAAAGAAAGAAAGAAATGACATCCACCTTGCTATCCATCCCAATTCTCTAACCTCCTAGAGCCCCTTTAATCTTGCTGAAAACCCTGGGGCTTAAAGATAATTGATTTGGGTGAGTCCGTAGTGTAGGGAGGCCTTAAAGTAACCAAGGGCTCAGGAGGGGTGGATGCACCTTTAGCCTCATAAGACCATCAGCATGGCTTTGATGCCTCTGTGCAGGTTCCAATTCTCAGAGAGAACCAGCACCAGCTTAGAAAGGAGACCCTTTCGTCTGCCCCCCATGGAATGAGAATTACCTTCCTCCCCTTGCAGAACCAGCAGGCAAGGGGTGCACATTTTATTAAGAAGTCACTTTGAGAGCAGAAGCCTGCAAAGGAGGAGGGAGAGGTAACGGGTGAGACAGGGGGAGTCGTGTGGGGTGTGGGGCTCTGAACGCCACACGGGAGGCTGTGATCAGATGTGTCACAGGCTGTGAGGGGTGGCATGAGTTGGGTGGAGAGTCAAGCACGGGATTCAGCAACGTGGACTAGGGGGCGGCACTTCCAATGGAGTGGAGGTTGTGAGCGTAGAGTGGAGTGTCTTTAAGAGAGAGCAGGAGTTGAACTGGGGACAGTGCATGGGTACAACATCTGGAAGAGTTTTGCCTCAGAGAGAATCAAAGAAATGGGGCAATCGCTGGTGGTAGGAGTAGGACTACCCCACTGCATGTCTACTATGCTGTTTTTTAATCAGTTGACTATTCTTATATATTTTTTATTCATTTCCAAACTTTTAGTGTTGTAACAAAAGATGCAATTAACATCTTTGTAGGACAGAAAAATTCCCAGTCCAAAGAGGAGAAACAAGAGAGAAGGAGGCGGTGAGAGGTCCCAGCACCCGGCGAGGCAAGCTCCCTACCCTAAGGTGTGACAATGCTCCCTTTGGTTCTATGCTCTGCTTTCTGGGCACTGGGGCCGTGTCCTCTCCACCCAGCTCTGCCAGGTGGCAGTCACATCCCCAGCGCTCTGGCAGGTTAGGGTCATGCTCCCAAGGTTCAGGGCCGCCCCATCCCCACAGCTTAGAGCAGAGGCTACACGGCCTGTTGAAACCGGTGATGGCACCCCTCTTAAAACCAAGGAGGCCCTGAATCACCCGGGGGGTCATAAAGAGTAGAACATGTTCAGAGCCAAACAGCTCTCATGGCCCAGTCCAGTAAAATTCAAGGTCTGATGGCCTTTATTTTTTGTCCAATTACAGTTGACAGTCAATATTATTTTATATTAGTTTCAGAAGTACAGCAGAGTGGTCGGACAACTATATAATTTACCAAGGGATCCCCTGATGATTCTGGTACCAACCTGGCACTATACAGTTATTACAACGTTATGGACTACACTCCGTCTGCTGTACTTTACGTCCCCGTGACTATTCTGTAACTGCCAATCAGTACTTCTCAATCCTGTCACCTTTTTCCCCCCCCCCCCAACTCCCCTGCCCTCTGGCAACCACCAGTTTGTCCTCTGTATCTACAAGTCTGTTTCTGTTTTGTTTATGACAAAAGAGGCAAGAACACACAATGGGGTCAAGACAGTCTATTCAATAAATGGTGTTGGGAAAGCTGGACAAATACATGTAAACGCTCTCACACTGCTCTTAGCAATATTTATTTCTGACATATCTCCCCAGGCAAGGGAAAGAAAAGAAAAAATAAACAAAGGGGACTTCATCAAACTAAAAAACAGCAAAGGAAACCATCAATACAATGAAAAGATGACCTACTGAAAATAAGAGGATATCTGCCAATGACACATCTGATGAGGGGTTCACTTCCAAAATTTAAAAGAACTCACAAACTCAACACCAGAAAACACCCCCCAGACAATCCAATTTTTAAAATGGGCAGAGGGTCTGAATCAACTTTCCTCCAAAGAGGGCACACAGGTGGCCAACAGACATGAAAAGATGCTCAGCGTTGCTAGTCATCAGAGACACAAATCACAACCACAATGAGGTACCTCTTCACACCTGCCCGAACGGCTATTATCAAAATGACAAGAAATAGGAAGTGTTGGCGAGGACACAGAGAAAAGGAAACCCCTGTGCACTGTCGGTGGGAATGTAAATTGGCGAGGCCACTGTGGAAAACAGCATGGGGGTTCCTCGGAAAAATTAAAACTATCGTATGATCCAGCAGTTCCACTTCTGGACATCTACCTGAAGGAAAAAAATTAAAACACTAATTCAAAAATATCACCCTGGCCGGGTAGCTCAGTCAGCGAAAGCATCATCCCGATAAGCCAAAGTTGCGGGTTTGACCCCTGGTCAGGGCACCTACAAGAATCAACCAATGATGCATCAGTAAGTGGAACAAATCGATGTTTCTCTCTCCCTCTCTTCTCTCTCTCAAATCAATAATAGAAACCTAAAATAACAACAACAACAAAATACACAACTGACCCTTGAATAAAACGGATTTTCACTCTGTGAATCTACTTACATGTGGATTTAAAAAAAAATACAGTAGAGTCTCCATATCCCCGGGTTTCACACTCATGAATTCGACCAACTACAGATCGAAAAGAGTATTTTCAGTTGCTGTTGGGAATCCGCAGATGTGCAGATGCATTGTTCTACCCCATTTTCTACACGGGACTTGAGCATCTATGGATTTTGGTACCCGAATGAGGTCCTGGGACCAGTCCCCAGCACGGGGTGTTGGTGCCCCTCTCCCCCACATTGTTCAAGGGTCAACTGTGGAAGTACCTCTGCGTTCACTGCACTATTTACAATAGCCACAGTGGGACAGCCGAAATGCCCACTGACGGGTGAATGGATAGAGGTGCGGTATACAGAGAGTGGAATACTACTCAGTCATAAAAAAGAATAAAATCTTGTCACCGTGACAACATGCATGAAACTTGAGCGTATTTTCCTGAGTGAAATAAGCCAGGCGGAGAAAGGCAAATATTGTAAAATTTCACTTATATGTGGAATCTAAAAATAAGTGAACAAATAAAACAAAATCAGACTCACAGATACAGAGGAGAGACTGGTGGTTGCCACGGGGAAAGAGGGTTGGGAGATGGGCAAACGAGTGAGGGGATCAAGAGGTTCAAGCTTCCAATTTCAAAGCACACCAGTCGTGGGATGTAACATACAACGTGGGGACTGCAGTTGATGATGTTACACTGACCTTGTATCGTGAGAGGGTAACTGGATTTACTGTGCTGACCACTGTGCTTCGTCTACAAATGTTGGATTATGTTTATACACGTGAGACAAATATAATACTACATATCAACTTCAGTAAAATAAAAATGTCTTTAAGTTTTTTGGTAGCTTTTTTTCAGATGTTTTATTCCTATGCACTATAAATTGTTTCCATGAAAAGCAGGTCTTCATTACATTTTCTACGTGATTGTTGTTTTATATATAATTTTCTTAGCATCTTATTGATTTTTATTTTGGGGAAGTTTTCCAGAAAGTTTTAGATTTTCATCATGCAATATTTTATCATCTGCCCAAGAGAGATGAATTTACATCCCTCTTTGAAATGTTTATGTCTCATTTTTGGTTTTGTGTAAAATGCATTAATTATCGAACTAACTTTAGCTGTCAGCAAAGAGACGGGATCTACTTGTTGTGCCTGACTCAAGATATGACTATTTTCCTTTCACTGATTATTCAAAAGGATAAATATGCGGAAATATTTTTACTCTGATCCTTTCTAATATTTATTTTTACATTTTTGCAACATTTTTCATGAAGTTGATCACATGTGTATGTGTGTGTGTGTCGGTTATACTTTGGTATAAATTATGTCCCACAACGAAATATCATTAAGCCATGGAAAATGCAGGGAAATCCTGCCATTTGTAAAACCATGGATGATCCTTGAGGCATTATATGAAGTGAAATAAGTTAGAGACAAATACTGTATGGCCTCATTTATATACGTGGAATCTAAAAAACCAAACTCACAGGAACAGACAACAGGTTGGTGGATCCCAGGGGCAGGGAGTGGGAGATGGGGGAAACAGGGAGAGGTGAAAAGAGAAGAATTCTGAGATGTCCTACATTACACGGGTCCGAGTGTGAGAGACAGATATGAGAGTAACTGAAGTTAACAGCTGTGGGCCAGCTAACAATCCACTGCTCGCATTTCTGATCGTATGTTGGAGTTTTAGTTCTTTTATTTCTTTTTAACTCATTGTGGTGACATTGGTTAATAGTTATATTAGGTTTCAGGTGTACAACTCTACAGTATATTATCTGTATACTGTATTGTGTGCTCGCCCCCCAAGTCAAGTCCCCCTCTGCCACGATTTGTCCCCCCTTTACTGTCTTCTACCTCCCCCTGCCCCCCTTCCCCCTGGCAATCACCACACTGTTGTCAGTGTCCCCGAGTCTCTCTTTTTTTTCCCCTTGACTTAACCCCCTCACCTTTCTCACCCAGCCCCCAACGCCTCCCCTCTGACAGCTGTCAGTCTGTTCTCTGTGTCCAAGAGTCTGTGTCCCCTTTGCCAGTTCATGTTGTTCCTGAGAGTCCACACGTGAGTGGAATCATATGGTACTTGTCTTTCTTCGGCTGGCTTCTTTCATTTAGCATCATCCTCTCCAGGCCCATCCCTGCTGTCCAGCTTCAGACAACCTATGTCGGGGCCTCGAATCAACTTCCAGGCAGCTGTCTAAAGAGGAGGAGCCGAGCGCCAGGCACCGCTGCATCCTGCTGTGCGCGAACTTTCAGAGAGGCCGCCCGTAAGCCATCAACAGTAGCACGTTTCTTCCTTACAGACTGTGCACTCGCTCCTTCAATTTTTGATCAAGTTAATACTTTATCTGTTTATTGGTTTTTCTCATTATATTCCCATTTTCTAATCCACTAATTTTTACTTGAATCTTCCTTAATTATTTCCTGGTTGTGTGTGCGTCCATGTTTGCTGTTTCCTTAAAATTTACAGATTTGGATACGCGTCTTATTATGCGATGTGCCTCCCTGGACAATGTGTATTATATTGGTATTTAAAATTAGTTTTACTGTGAGCACAGATCAGCATTATCCTATAGATTAAGGTAGGCACAGTTTTTAATCATTTATTCTATCCTCCTAAATTATTCTGAATTCACTCTTCCATCAAATTATTTTTGAGAGATACTTAAAAGAGTTTTCATGTGGTAGTCGCTTCTTTTCTTATATCGGAATCAGAGAATGTTGCCTGTAGTACTGATTTCTCGATTTCATCGACAGTTTCATTGTGATCCAGTACAATTATTTTCTGTTAGTGTCCACTCAACACTGGAAAATGGGATATGCTCTAAATTTCCACGGCCAAACTTCCGACATGTATCAATTCACTTTTTTGCACTAGTGCTGGGCCATTTTCCAAGCATCCTTTCCCATCTACACCACGCTGAGGGCTGTACTTTAGCATCTTCTGTGGAAGCAGAGACATCCCTCCTCGAGAGGTTTACAAAAAGCGCAAAACAGAGGAGCATATGGGGAACCGATTTTGAACTAGAAATGTTTCCCTTTATGTCCCTGAAACTCAGTAAATGGATTCAGTGAGGCAACGCGGTTTCCACATCTTCGGGGGAAAGAGCACCACGTAAAGTTTTAGCATCTTTGTGAGTCTGTGCATCCGTCAACTTCAGACACGTAAAGCATAGGCAAGTCACACTGCTCCACCAGGGCATATTTCACGGGGTTGCAATCAAACCAGGCTGAGTGCAGGAGTCCTCGGGGAGGAGGGGCCTGCACACTGACTGCGTCACTCAGAGCAAAGCTCTGTGTGTTGAGGGGTCCTCTGTTCTTGACCTCTTTCTCTCTTTTTAATCCTCTCCAGAGAGGGAGGAAGGGAGAGAAACATGGATCACCTGCCCCCCGTACTTGCCCCCACTGGGGATCGAATCTGCAACTTAGGTATGTGACCTGACAAGAATCAAACTTGCCACCTTCTGATATACAGGACAATGCTCCAACCAACGGAGCCACACTGCCCGGGGCTGACCTCTTTCTGAACGAGCTGATGAGGCAGGAAATTTATATTTTTAAACGTCATCTTATTTCTTATTTTACTCAGGTAGGCTTTTGTTATGTACTGTATTTTCAGGAACAGAATAGCATTTTTAGTTTTACCTGAATGACTTTTGCCAAAAAAATTACTTGGTCTCTTTGAAATTATGGCCATAAATGTAATGAGCCCCGTTTCAATGAAAATAATCATAAAATAATAATGTTACCCTAATTCAAGTTACAAAGATTCCAAAAAGAAAAACTTAGTGGGCTGTTAATTTTTGTGTCAGCTCTGATCAGGTCCACAAACACATGTAACTGCCGCTTAAAAAATACCATGTGGTTCAAGCTCCTTGCCCAATTACATTTGATCCTCACAACAACCCTGCAGAGCTCATGCTGCTGTTGTACCCACTTCTCATACAGACAAACTGAGGTGCAGACACCTGGACTAACTTGCTCCGGGGTGCATGGCTGGTAAGAAACCGAGTCAGGATTCTAATGACTCTTTTTCTGTGGCCTGAACATTTTATCTTCTATTAACCCCTGTCCCACGGCACCTCCTGCACTTCATGATCACTGTCTGGTACAAGATACTACTGGAATAAAAGCGTGACCTGAGAACAAAGTTCTCAGAGCTTTCAGTTCAGTTTAAAAATCCTTCTGACAGCTTAGACACCACTCAAAGCTCACTGAGACTTTGGGGTCAGCCCAGTCTTTGAGAGAGCACCATCTGCTTCTGTTCTTGGGTTTGGTCATCTAAGCCTTCTGAGCCTGCATCACTGGGGAGACCTTGGGGGTGGCACATATTTGGATTTTGTGTAGAATAACTCATCCTGCATGCCACTAACAGCCAGCCATCCAGCGCCTCCTGATGGGGGAATTCTTTAAATAAGATGGAATCAAGAGGGAAGGACTATGGGAAGGACCACAGTGAAAGCAGGCTGAATACTTACTTACCCATAGAATTGGGAATCATATAAGAGGGAGAGGCAGTGTGAAAATATGGGCAGTTGACGCACACTCTGGGAAGGGGGCCAAGGAATACTGAGTCTGGCAGCCCACAGATAAAGGCCCAAGGCGCCCACACTGTGTATGAGCTTATTTATGCCCACCTCTGTCCCACCTGGCTGAACTATCCATACTTAAAGATTGCAGGTGCATTTCCCGTAGCTATATTCAGGTGCCCCACCTATCCATGGCCCTATATGTGGGGGATCACAGTGTCTGTGATCTGGACATATACTGAGTCCCATTCGCTGTCCCACTAATTTATACCTATAGGCCATAGTGATATCAGCAAGTAATTTAACCTCTCTACCTGTTTACCTCATCAGGATGATGGGGGAAATCATAGTAAGGTGGTTCTGGGAACAAAATTTATGCTTTGCAGAGTGTGAAGTACATTGTATAAACTCTGCAAATACATCGTCGACTCTCCTGGGCCCAGCTTATTTTCAGCTATCTTAGCCCAGAGAAGGGGATTCTCAATGTGGGGCATTTCCTACAGGTCCATTAAACTGTTAAAACTGAGCTCCTGAACTCACATTCTTTCCTTGTTCAGTTACTGAAAAGATGTATTAAAACTGTTCAATCAGATTTCATATTTTCTATTCTTATCAATTATTTATTTGCATATCTGATGCTATATTATTAAATGACTACAAAGTTGGGATAGTTTTATCTTCCTGGTAAATTGTAACTAAATGTTTACATGCCATCCTCACTTATCTCCGGCAATGTATTTATCCTGAATATGCACTTTGTTTATAAGAAGCCACAGCATCTCTGCTGGATTGTTTCATCCTAGCATTTTTAATGGTTCTGTATCCTTATATTTTAGGTGTATATTTTAAACAGCATGTCGTTTCTTTTTAATTATAATCAAGGCTGAAAAACTTTAACTTTTAGTTTTTAAAACATTTTCGTTTAATCTAGTTATGGTGTACCTGTGTTACAAACTTTCTGCGTTACTATTGTATTTAGTTTTTGTTCCTTTCTACATTTCAATTTTTGTCTTTCCATTTTTGTATTCTAATGGTTTCAAAATTTTTATTATTCTGTTCTCTCTTTCATAATCTTTTTGGCTACATGTGGAAAACTTTTGTCGCAAGCTCCTTGTGTAGAATGTCTAGAGATAACACAAAATACTGAATACAAAGAACTGTGTCCAGAATTGTGCCGTTATAAGGAAAAATGAGATGTTTGTAACACGCATTTATTTATTTATAACAGCAGAGCGAGCTATTAATGCCATCAGGGAAATAACCAACATCCTACTTAATAAGTCCTTTAAGATCTGAGCCATATTGGGCCAGATCCACTTGAATAGCCTTTTTCAATAGATGCTAATCACGGAAGCCTGTGAAAGGAACACAAGAATTATTCACCCACCTCACACGCACACAACAGCGAATTCTGCTAGCCTTGGACCTTTAGCTTCCAGTTCTACATTTAGTACATAAACATTATACTATATTATGGTATATATCCTTTATATATATATATGTCTTCAAATAAATAACTTTTAAACTCACTTCTACGCACATATATTTATATATGTCTTCCATATATACTTCCAAATATAAGTAATTTCACATCAAGTTAAGCAGGATGGAAACATGTAAACATATACACCTGGTTCTGGTCAAGTACCACACAAAACCACAAGGTAACCACAGTTAAAAAGTGCACTTGAATTAGGGAAGAAACAGACATGTAAACAGCAGAGACGAGCAGCTGCACAAGGCCCCCCGAGGGTCCATTTCTTAAGGCTGTAGCAGCAAAAAGTTCCTTGTTCAGTTAAGACTTCTCCCTTCACCCTGTCCCATTTACTCTCGAGGGGCTTCAAAATGAGTGTGGAAGTCCTGTAAACACTAGACTAGACCTGAGTCAATCCTGTTGAAAACAGAGATGACAAGATAAACCATAAACTGACAGTCATATGCATTTCACCGAACAACAACGTTAAGGACTTTTTTTTTTGGTTTGGTTACTTTTGTGAAGCACCACACTCCTAGGGGGAGAGAAATGGGGATGGGCAAGAAAACACATGAATGATCCATCCAAATGGCTTCGACACCTGCTGTACATGGTAGATGCTCTATCAACGGGAAACAGGCAACAGCGGATGGCAGAGCGTCAGCACAGCGCGTCAGCACACTACACCACATGCCACAGATCCGAGTGGAAACACTTCCCCAGCCCCCCCCCCCATGAA